CCCCCCCCGGTCTAGTAGGGTTATTTAAAAAAAAAAACTTGTTTTCAACATCATTTGCTTACGATGATTATAACTAAAGGCTTCAAAATTACAGAAACTGTTTACCATCTATAATGTTACAGCTACGGTGATCATCATCTGCATGGGCCTGATGGGATTGTTCCTGTTCCTCACCCTGGTCATTATCGTCATCCATGACCGGGAGGGGAACCTGTCTCCGGCCGCGAAGATTATTTTCCTCCGATATATGTCAAAGTACCTTTAATTCGTTTTTTTCTTGTTTTAAATACATTATCAGAGCGGTAAAACAACAGAAAAATGCTATTTTAAAGAAATCTGTTTAAAAGTGCCATTACGTACCTGCCATTTCTTTGCATATATTGTTTGTTTGTTTGAGCCCTTATTTCAACTCGAACTGTAACTGAGTTACATGCTTTAATCGGCCGCTATTTCGAGCGTGGAGGAGTGTCAGGGGGTCATAACATAAATACTGCTTGCTCACAAATGAAAACAAAGTAATAATTTTTAAACATAAGGTAACTCACACAAAGTAAATAAATAAACAAAATGGCAATAACTAATAAATAACTCATAAGTCGTTGTGTCCAAAGTCGTTCAGTCAAAATCGGTTACGATACTAGCAGTCTTTTAAAGGTGCTAAGAGTAGGTGCTGCTCTAACATGCTGGGGAAGAGCGTTCCATACAAGAGAGCCAGAGTAGGCTAGGGATCTCCGGTATATTTCTCTTAATGGCATCGGAACCGCAAGGAGATCAGTCGCGCTTTGCCTGGTGCTTCTGGTCGCTCTATCCCTACAGTATGTGAAAATCCGGCGCATGTACGGCGGTAGTTGGTTGTTCAGGGCCTTATGTAGTAGGAGGGCTTTGTAATGTTTGTGGATTGACTTTGCGTCCCTCCAGCCCGGACGTCGGTGGACTTCGGCTGATGGAGTTAGATACGGGGCTCGTAGAATCAGCTTGCCAGCTCGGTTCTGCATCCTTTGTAATTTCCCCAACTCACGTTCGGGCGCAGTGTCCCAGACAGTGCAGGCGTATATAATATGTGGCAAAAATATAGTTTTGTACAAAGTTAACAGAGTAGATGTTGGAATGAATGTGCGGACGTGCTTTAAAATGCTGAGTGATCGCCTGAGTTTGCCCAAGACGGCATTTATTTGACACTTCCAGTTGAGATTACGATCAATTAACACACCTAGGTATTTGTAAAATGTACATTCCGTTACAGTTGCCCCATTGATATACACTTCAGGGCTTCTGCAACTGTTAAGCCTTTTATCGGTTCCAATAAGCATGAGTTTGCATTTACCACTGTTTACGGATAACGAATTAGCTGTGAACCACTGAGAAAGAGTATTTAGATCATTTTGGAGGTTGTACTCAATATCGCTAACATCCTTGCTGCTATAGTAGATGACAGTGTCGTCTGCATACATTGATATTTCACAAGATTTGGCGCAATTTGGCATGTCATTAACATGAATTAAAAACAACAGCGGGCCCAATAATGAGCTTTGTGGTACTCCATATTTATGGGTTCACCACACCACGAAGTGGTGGTGAACCCATATTGCTTTTTCTGATGTTTCTTCTCCTCCTCCTCCTGCCACTTCTTTAAATTGATTCAACTCCTTCATTTTTGGGCGAAATTACCTGTAATTTCGTATAGAGGTAGAGTGGGTAAATACCCTTAGGCGTTCTTTTAATTTTTTTGATACAAGCTTTTACAGTCGTTTTATTTGCTTTTTAGTGGTCCCCATAGGAAAGTACTGTGGGGGCGTACGCGCGTGACGTAATAAGAAAGGAATTCGGGGGAAGGCCCAAATATGGGCATACAAGCAGGTGTGGTCATGTTTGCAGATGTGGCTGTTGATTGGCTGTTGGCTAATTAATTTATTTACTACCATTTTCACGTACCAGCGCAGCTGGTCCACGCGGTCTCGGCCGTGGGCCATGATACTCTGATACTGGATACCGATTCGTGTGATTCCTATAAACATTTCACCTAACTACGAACTAGTTGGAAGAATTATAGCTGCATGGATGCCTGTATATGATTTTAACAAACACTGAAAATTTGACGCAAAAACTGGCAGATATTTTGCTCTTCTCTGTTGGAACAACGCAAGCGGGAGGTCAATGACCTGCGCCCCGCGAGTACTGTAAACAACGGTACGTAATGTGTATCGTCGGCGCACGCGCGCGCGCCACGGTATCAACAATTTTCCACAATCTTCACCGACTAGTATTATATATTCTGTTATCGATTTCTGAAGAATCACCAAAATTGTAGAGTGTATCTCCTAGAAAGTCCCTTACTAGTACTTGAAGCGATCGTTACCGCCATGTTGTTCACTTTATATGACATACAATGCAGAGAGTAATGGAAACGTGTCCAGATAGCTCGGTTGGTAACGCGCAGGGCTGCAAGTCCAGACATTACGAGTTCGAACCCCGGTACACTGGATATTTTTAATTATCC